CCCTAAATCATTTCGGGACCATTTTGAAGGTGATCCATAAATCATTTTGCAACCATTACAGATTTCCTACTCAAAAGGATTTTAAGGATTTACAATCTAGTCCTTAAATCACATTGCATTTGCACCTAGAAAATACGATAATTAATATAAACTTGTTGCTTTCATATATAATATATAATGTAATTACAAAATAAGGTGAGTATAAGGCATCTGAATATATACAACAATGAGGTAAGCTAGTAACAATATTGTGATCATGAACGCTTAGCAAAAAAATCATATACTAGCCTTAAACTATAATCCAAAGTTTCCTTCACCTTCCCAGCAAAAAATGGTCAATCTACATGTTGTTTAACATTGGCTTTTTGCAAATTTCAGCATCCAAAATCTGCAAAAGAAATAAAACTTTCATTTAGAAGACCTATCTATAAAGATAAACAGAAAGAAGTGATTAAATCAAATAAAAATTGCAGCTGTAACACTAATTGCTGCAACAGGTGAGATTTTGGTCGCCATTTTTTGTGGGAAATTGTTGTACACAATATAGTGGTAGCAGTTGCAACACTAATTGCTGCAAGAGTTGGAACTTTGTAGGCTATTTTCTTTTAGGAAGTGTTGAACACAATATTGTCGTGACCAAAGATGATAGAAAATAAGCTCAAGGAGAAAGGTGCACAAGGATGAAAATGGGAAGCAAATTATGAACACAGTGATCAGGGTATAATCTGGTTGATTTGGGATCCTCAACTAATTGAGTGCATAACTTTGAACAAGGCTGAGCAATATATACACGGCATAGTAGTTGTGAAGAGGAACAACATGAAGTTCCAATTGGTGGTGGTTTATGGCTTGCATACTATTCATACTAGACTTAAACTATGGGAAGATCTGAGAGGGATTTCCACAAGGACACAAGAACCTATGATATGCATCGGAGACTTCAATGCTATTCTCTCAAGTGAAGATAGACAACTAGGCAATCCATTTCAAAAGGGAGAAATAAGGGACTTTAATGAGTTTATTCTTGATACTGGTATGTCAGAACTGAAATCAATTGGCAGAACTTATACATGGTCTAATGGGCGTACTTGTAGCAAAATAGATAAGAGCAATAGTGAATGGCGAATGAATGCTGAATATGATTCTAATGGAGGTCACTGTAATGAATCCATGTACTTCTGATCATTCCCCTTTTAGTTTGGAGTTAGACAGACAAAGTAGATGCAGTCACAAGGCATTTAAGTTTTTCAATTGTGTTGCTGAGCATCCAGAATTTTTACAACGAGTGAAAGAAGCATGGGTGAGAGGACATAAGAAGGATATGAACGACATATGGCGAATGCTAAAAAGGGTGAAAAAAAACCTTAAACAACTCAACATCATGGAGTTTAAAGAAGTGAGTAACAGGGTCAAAGATATCAGAGGTCAACTGCATAGTCTACAAGAGAGTATGAGGGATCCTAGAGCAGTAGCCTTCAACAGACAGCATGAAAAGGAACTGCATATACAATTGGAGAAATGGAGTAAGATTGAAGAAAGTGTTATGCAACAGAAGTCGAGAGTACAATGGCTAAAATTAGGTGATGCAAATACTACATACTTCTTTGCTAACATGAAGAACAGGGTGGCTCAAAAATACAATTACATGTCTCATGACCTCAGAAGGCATTAAAGCTCAGACGCAAGAAGCTCTTGAATTGGAAGTGAATACATTTTATAAGGATCTGTTGGGCAAGGCAGCTCAGAATATACCTAGTGTGAGTACAACTGTCATGAAGAATGGAAATACATTAAATAGGGAGCAGCAAATACTACTAGCAACCAAAGTGACAAGGGAGGAAATGATAATAGCATTGCAAGGCATAAATTATATGAAGGCTCCTGGATATGATGGATTCAATGTTCATTTTTTTAAGAGGGCTTGGCCAGTAGTGGGAGAGGATATTATAACTGCAGTATTATTGTTTTTTGAAACAGGAACCATGTACCCACCTATTAATTGTACATCAGTGACTCTAATTCCAAAAGTCGCCAGTCCTACAAGAATTGGGGAATATAAGCCTATTTCATGTTGCACAGTACTGTATAAGATCATTTATAAAGTGATCACAACAAGGTTACAGAAGGTGATGAGCTCCATAGTTGATCCTAACCAGTCAACATTTGTACCACGGAGAGCAATCCATGACAATATCATTCTAAGCCATGAACTAGTGAAAGGTTATGCTAGGAAAGGTATTTCTAAAAGGTGGATATGAAGAAAGCTTATGTAATGACCCTCCAGGTCATTTCTGTGTCTTGCCTTCTGTGTGTCGTTTAGAGCGTTCCTGTAGCGACCCTAAGTCATTTATGACTTGCTGGGATTGACAGTTCGGTCACTTGGTCGTTTGTTTGGTCTTGGTGCGAGTTTTTGTGTTTTGGAGCTTATGAAACTTGAACGATCAAAAGTTCAAGAAGATGACATCGGAATCCAATTCTGACGATTCCATCAGCTCCGGAAGGGTCATTTTAGGCTAGTAGCATGGTCAACATGACTCCCGAGGTTTTTAGTGTGAGTCGGTGCGATTAGGCGTTTTAACTTTAAGTTTAAGCCTAAGTTTGACTTTGGTCAACATTTGAGTAAACGCGCTTGGATGAGAATTCCGTCAGTGCGGTTAGTTCCGGAATGTTGAGTTTGGTCTAGATTGACCCTCCTTTTGTGTCCCGAGGTTTTCGATATCTTTTCGAGCCCTTTTGTGGGTTTTGACTTAAAATGACCTTTGGAAGTGGGACCCACTTTTATCAAGATGACCTTTGGTGGAAATTTCGACTGCGCCGTTGAGTCCGGAATATCGAATTTGGTATGGTTGCATATCTCGTTTGAGTGCACGGGGTTCCGAACGAGATCGGAGTACCCCGTCGGAGTTTTTAGTTGTTGGAAAAATTGCAGAAAATCTGCTATATTAATGCAGATTTTCTGCAATTTTTCCAACAACTAAAAACTCCGACGGGGTACTCCGATCTCGTTCGGAATCCCGTGCACTCAAACGAGATATGCAACCATACCAAATTCGATATTCCGGACTCAACGGCGCAGTCGAAATTTCCACCAAAGGTCATCTTGATAAAAAGTGGGTCCCACTTCCAAAGGCCATTTTAAGTCAAAACCCACAAAAGGGCTCGGAAAGATATCGAAAACCTCGGGACACAAAAGGAGGGTCAATCTAGACCAAACTCAACATTCCGGAGCTAACCACACTGACGGAATTCTCATCCGAGCGCGTTTACTCAAAATGTTGACCAAAGTCAAACTTAGGCTTAAACTTAAAGTTAAAACGCCTAATCACACCGACTCACACTGAAAACCTCGAGAGTCATGTCGACCATGCTACTAGCCTAAAATGACCCTTCCGGAGCTGATGGAATCATCAGAATTGGATTCCGATTTCATATTCTTGAACTTTTGATCAAAAATGATCGTTCAAGGTTCATAAGCTCTAAAACACAAAAACTCGCACCAAGACCAAACGAACGACCAGGTGACTGAACTGTCAGTCCCAGCAAGTCATAAATGACTTGGGGTCGCTACAGGAACGCTCTAAACGACACATAGAAGGCAAGACACAGAAATGACCGGGAAGGTCATTACAACTTATGACTCTCTTGAATGGAGCTTCTTGGAGCAAATTTTATATGAGATGAAGTTCCCGGTAGTGATGATCAAATGGATTATGCAGTGTGTTACTACTGTATCCTACTCATTTCAGGTCAATGGAAAAGCTACAAAGCCATTCCAAGCTAGAAGAGGAGTTAGACAAGGGGATCTCATGTCGCCTTTTCTCTTTGTATTAGCCATGGATTATCTCACAAGGGTCTTAAAAAGCCTTCATACTAACCATGAGTTCCATTACCATCCTAGGTGTAAGAGACAAAAAATCATTCAACTTAGCTTTGTTAATGACTTGTTGATGTTCTGCAGGGGAGATATAAAGTTTGTGAGCTATCTACATAAATGTTTTATGCAATTTTCAGAGGCTTCAGGACTGGTGGCAAATGTAGATAAAAGCAGTGTGTATTTTGGAGGAATCAAATAGGCTGTTCAAGACCAAATACTACAATAGCTTCAGTTTATCAAAGGAGAATTGCCTTTTAGATACTTGGGGGTACCCTTGAGTACTAAAAGAATATCTATATCCCAATGCAAGCCTCTTATAGACAAGATGTAGAAGGTATTTGTAGAAGGTTTCTATGGACAGGGAATGTTAAGGTTTCAAATGAACAGACTTTGCTGCTTATGGATCAATACTCTATTAGAAATGTTTATAAGAAGATGAGAGGAGATATGGGGAAAGTGGAATGGATAGTTACTAAAATGTGATGTTTGGTAGAGCTTGGGGCTGCTTGTCCAAGGCTCCTGGATGATTTTGTTTTGGACTGTTCACTTTGGTAATAAATTCAACTTAGCAAAAAACTAATATCATCATATGAGGTACTCGATGACTACACAAGTTAGAAACAAATTGTCATAAAATGGTCTGAGTTTCCAGTCAGCTTAATGTTGCTATGACGATTGTACAGTAAAACATCAAGAATTACTTATATTGTGACGAGTAAACTGTAATCGCAAACGAAAATTTACAAGGAACAAAACTTAGTCAAAAAGTTAAAGTTAAGAGAGGAAGAAGAGCTTACATGTTCTAAATGAGTTTGTTATCATCACTTGAAAATCCTTAAATAGCCAAAAGTCAATTTTCTCTGTAAAATTTTATCACGAGTTAGCTTTGAAGAAGCAAAAATTAGAAGAATCTGATATTGACAGAGCTCTTCGCAATATTTTCTCCATTAGAATGAGGTTAGTACTATTCAATAGTGATCCAAATTTATAGACTATTTATCATTCTAAAATTTATCAAACGTGCAAATACATTTTAAGATAAAACAACCAGCAATTAATAGCTTTGCTACGCAGAACCAGAACAATAAATTGATGTTTCAGGTAAGTTTTTACTCACATGGTATAATCAAGGATCCGAATAGTCATTCTCTTGAATTGGAGGCTGATAATTAGGGTGTTGCGCTAAAAAAAATTCTTTCAATTGCTTCAGTTCTTTCATCTCATTTTGAAAGTTAGACACGCAATCCTTCAAAGACTGGTTTTCCTTTTGAGTTGAACGTAGCTCAGCCAACAATTCAGCTTTTGAGGAAGTCCCACCTTTCAAATCTGTTGCTTTTACTCCACCTCCAAAGCCAAATACATGACTACGACTTTGAGGTCCAAAGCATTTCTCAACAATTTCTATGCTAGAAAGTGATGGTTCAGACTCCACCAATTCTTGAATTTGAGCCTACAGAGTGTATAGAGGAATTTTTTTTTCCAGATCCCATAATAACTAAATGTTAAGAACATGTTCAATTAACCAAACGCACATGCTTCTCGATTGTTTCAGAATCAACTAGTGTGTTATTCTTCTTGCGAGTCTCGTAAAAGATAGTTGCCAAATCTGGTGGATTGCCATCTTTTCCGCCCTTTACATAAAAGTAAACATGTTAAAGAATGGTTCATCAATATTAAGACAGAAAAAGATTTGATGGTAAAACCTTTTGATAAATAATCTCTCTAATTGGCTTGCTACCAATATGATGAAGCATTTTCAGCTTAGCTCTATTTATTGCGTTTCTATTGCTTCTCGCCTATATTTGAGTAACAACATTAAATTCAAATGTTATAAATAAATTATCAAAATGAAATCATAGTATGAAACAAATTACATAATTACGTAATATGTCAAACCTGAAAATCTTTTGAAGTAAAATGTTCTTTTACCAACCACTCCCATTGCTTCTTTTCTACCCCCTTAGGCATATTCTTAAGAGCCTCTTGGATAGGCTTACCCTTCACATACTTTTCATGCAATTGACCTCTCCATTTATTCCATAACTCTTTCATCCATCCCAAAACATGATCTCTATGACTATTCATGTCATCACTATCAAATTTATCCTATAATGTATCAAATTGAAACATGAAGGAGCACACTAATTAAGCAACAAGAATTGTATTAAGAAGAGAGTAGCCCAAGAAGAAATTGAAATACTTAATCCAATTACCTTAACAACAGCCCACATGTGATTTAGCTTTTCCTCCTTAATGTGTTTCCATGATGATACTCCCAATGGACATATATTACGATCACGAACTATTTTTCCCAAATGCCTCGAAAATAGATTACTATTCTTCCCAACTGTTCGATTATTGTAAAATGTCACTTTTAGCTTTTGTCCAATATCAAGCAATGCAACTTCTTTGCACTTGTTACTTCCTCAAACCTTTTTATCCATTCCAGTAGCACATGAACCTACATTTACATAATTTATAAATGGTAGAAAATATTGTACATATGATAAACTTGTGATCAAATAGATTTCAGAAATGAAAGCATACTTGTTTCAGCTGTTTGGGCAGAATGTTTAACTTGATCAATAGGAGAAATTGGAATATCAGAATGCAAACGCTCTTTCTCATGAGCCAAGAAAGCTTTATTTGTTGTTCTTAATCCTTGAGATAAACCTAATGCAAGAAATTATATCAGTAAAAATACTTGAATTAAATTAAATTAAATTAAATTCTGAAAAAGAAAAAAAATTAAGAAATCATACTTGTTTCAAATGTTGGGGTAGACTCCATAGCATCATCAGTAGAAAGAGAAAATGCAACATCAGTTTGCATATGCTCTTTCTCAAAAGCCAAAAACTTTTTATTCATTGTTCGCAATCCTTGAGAGAAACCTAATGCAAGAAATTGTATCAGTAAAAGTACTTGAATCAAATTAAATTCAATTCTGAAAAAGAAAAAAATTTAAGAAATCATACTTGTTTCAAATGTTGGGGGGGACTCCATAACATCATCAGTAGAAAGAGAAATTGGAACATCAGCTTGCATATGCTCTTTCTCAAAAGCCAAAAACTTTTTATTCATTGTTCGCCATCCTTGATCAGCAGAAGGTCTTGACATATTTTGACTAACATAACGATCATTTTGATTGAAAGATCTCCCCTCATTTTCAGAATCTTCAATTGAGCACATAGATTTAAGCCTTGATACTTCCCTTGAGCACCTAGTGCAAGAAATCATATCAGTTAAACATTAACAATAAATTAAATGCAATTCTAAAACACAATATATTGTAGAATCATACTTGATGAATTTGTTTTGATGTATTGCATAAGTTCATCAGTAGATGAAAAAGATGGAATATGTCCTTTCTCAACACTCAAGTAGGTTTTGTTCATTGTTCGCACTCCTTGAGCATTAGACATAGATCTAAGACCTTTTCCTCGTCCCTTTGCAACCACACCTAGTATAAGAAAATCGACAATAAAAAATTAGTATTAAAATTCCTCGTACAAATTAATAACACAAATAAAAATAAAAACCCATACTTGTTTCAGTAAATTGATTGTACTGCATAACTTGATCAGTAGATGGCGAAAATGGAATATCAGTTCTTGACACCCCTAAAGACAACATAGATTTAAGCCCTCTTCCTCGTCCCTTTCCTATAGCACCCGTGGCACACATGCATATTTAGTAGTAGCTTTCACCCTAGATGCCACCTGATTTTCATCCTTGGATGGTTTCATATCAAACCTAACAAAAAACAAAGACAATGTGTTAACAAAAAAAATGAAAAAACATTCTAAAAATCATATACTTGGCAAAAAAATGAAGACACTATAAAAATAATGTACTATCAAAAATCATGTATCAAAATGTATAATAATGAATATGCTAAAGCTTAAGGAGATACTTCACCTCAATCATTCTTTTTCGTTTATTTTGTAAAGAATTTTCTAAATCTTCAAATTCATTGTCCTTTTGTTGCACAATTTCATAGGAATCACAAGGTTGTACCTTTCTCGCTACACACCAACCTCTATTGGAATTATCATTAGCATAAAATACTTGAGAGGCTTGATCAGCTAATACAAAAGCTCATTTATTTTCAAAAATCGCCCCCAATTTACACTTACAATGCCATACTCATCTATTTTCACTCCTTTTGTCTTATCATATGCATCAAACCATTTGCATTCAAACAAAACAACTCTTCTATCCATGAATTGCAATTCAAGAACATCGGTTAAAACTCCATAGTAATCAATGTTGTCACTATGTTTATCAGTTTCACCAACGACAACCACACCACAATTTTGAGTCCTTAAATTTTTATCATAAGCTTCTGCATGGAATCTATATCCATTGACAATGTAACCATTATAATGTAATACATATTTAGTAGGACCACGTGAAAGTGCAAGGAGATCTTCCATGATCCGACTATCATCTTCTTTATGCAATTGTGCAACCTATCAACAAGATAAAATTGATCACTTCTAAATGAGTAACTCAATATTAGATTTCCAAATTTGATGTGTATATATTACTCACCTTATCTTGAAACCATTCAATAAATTGTCTATTCCATTCATCATCAGACAAGTGTTGAGTAGAATCTACATGAATTTGTGCAAACTCTCTACAAATTTAAATTGAACCACAAATGTCATACCAAAAAATAATCCTAAAGAAACAAGGCAATGAAGTATGATATGTAGAAAAAATCATACTCTAGAAATGGTAGAACTTCATCGCAATTCTTCAGTATGTAGATATGTGCTTGCTCTAATTCATTTGCTTCAAGATCACGCTGTTTTGGATCCCCCAATGTTTTTCCAGATTGACAAAATAGAGATAATCCTCCATCAGATTTTTTCAGACCACCATCATAGTTTCATTCTGGCCTATTAAATTTTGTGTCAATTGTATGCAATATATTGAACATAAATTCATACATTCCTTTGCAATGTACTCTGCAATACCTTCTGGCCAAGCCCTATTACCAATGAGAGATTTCAAAAAATATAACCATCGTTCTATGGGATACATCCATCGATACTGGACAGGTCCACCAAGCATAGCTTCATTAGCTAAGTGAATAGGCAAGTGCACCATGACATCAAAAAATGAAGGCGGAAATACCTTTTCTAACTTGCAAAGAGTTATAGGAATTTGAGCCTCAACCTGCTCCAAGTCATCAATCCTTAATAACTTAGCTCCAATCATATTTAAAAATAAAGACAATTCAATTAGTGGCTCACACACTTCTTTGGAAAACATACCAGTAGTGCAAGAGGGAGTAAATGTTGGAGAATAACATGCAATCATGACTCTTTAAACCAGAAATTTTGCGATCTTTCAAGTTAACACACTGAGAAATGTTGGATGAAAATCCATCTGGAACCTTTAAATTCTTCCAAAACAGGCAGAAATTGTGCTTTTCTTGTTGAGATAAGGTGTAACATGCAGTTGGAACTTCATATTTTTCACCTTTCTGGATTAGGTGCAACTCCGGCCTTATATTAATTTCTTTCAAATCTAGCCGAGTATTAATAGTGTCCTTGGTCTTTCCTTTGGCATTCATAATTGTCCCAAAATATTATCACATATATTTTTCTCAATATGCATAACATCCAAATTATGTCGCAACAAAAGAGACTCTCAATATGGAAGTTCAAAAAAGATACTCTTCTTGTTCCAATTATCTTTTCGACTATCATGTGATATTTTGATTCTTTTCTTTGGTTCCTTTGTTAACTGTAACCCTTCAAGATCTTGAACTTGATGAAGAATCTCAATACCAGAACGTTTTTTCGTGGGAGCCTCTTCTCTTCTGTACCATCAAAGGACTTCTTATCATTCCTCCATTTGTGATTACGAGGAAGATAACGACGATGAGCCATAAAACTTTCTTTCTTACAATTGGCCAATCTGATTGAGGAAGTATCTTTGTTGCAGCATGGGCATGCCAATTTTCCTTTGGTACTCCATCTAGATAAATTTCCATATGCTAGAAAGTCATTGATGGTCCATAACAAAGAAGCATGTAGCTTAAAATTTTGTTTGGTTGATGCATCAAAGGTCTCAATACCAATATTCCATAGCTCCTTCAATTCTTCTACTAAAGGTTGAAGATATGTGTCAATTGCATCACCTGGACTATCTGGACCAGGAATAAGCATGGACATGATAATTTTTTCTTGTGTCATACACAACCAAGGTGGTAAGTTATAAGGAATAAGTACCACCGGCCAAATGCTATATGAGGTTTTTGCATTCCGAAATGGTTGAAAACCATCACTCGCAAGTCCAAGTCGAACATTATGAGGCTCGGCTGCAAATGAAGGATGAAGTTCATCAAATCATTTCCATGCCATTGAATCAGCTAGGTGCCTCATTATTCCATCATCAACTCTTTCGTCATGATGCCATGTCATTAGAGAAGATGTCTTTGAAGACATAAATAACCTTTGAAGCCTAGGTTTTAATGGAAAATAGCGTAAAATCTTTGATGCAACCTTTTTACCCTTTTTGTTCTTTGCTTCCCCGTTACGTTTATCAACTTTCCATCTAGATTCACCACAAACTTTACAAGAATCAAGTAAGTTATCCTCCTTCCAATATAACATGCAATCATTTCTACAAGCATCAATTCTTTCGTAGGAAAGCCCAAGATTTCGAATTACCTTCTTTGCCCCATAATATGTATTTGGCAAATCGGCTTCATCTGGCAACAACTCCTCTTTTAACATTTTTAACAACATTGTAAATAACTCATTACTCCAACGTCCCATACTTTTTATGTGAAGCAACTTAATCAAAGTTGAAAGTTTTGAAATTTTTGAACCTTGATACAGTGGCTTCTCAAAGTCTCCCAATAGACTATAAAACTTTTTGGCTTCAACATTTGGTTCCTCTTCAAGTGAATCATCACAATCAACATCTAAAGTGTGTCCATAATGATTAGGATAGAAATCTCTCAAAATTTCTCGTATTTCATCCTCATTCTCACAATTTTCTACTTCATTATCATCTCCATCTTCACATTGTGATTCTGGCTCACCTAAGACTTCCCCATGATGATACCAAAAGGTATAACTTTTAATTATTCCATATACTTTCAAATGTGTTCTGACTGTCTCACGTGTTCCTAATGTGGTATTACAACATTTAACACAAGGACATTGTATTTCATACATTTCTCCTGTCCTTTGAAAAGCATAATTCAAAAAATTTTCCACCCCGATAAAGTAGGCCTCATTAAGTCGATCATCAACAAGTTGCATCCATTGCTTACTTGGTGCCATAACCTTGGATTATATATAACAGTTAGATCAATCATACTTTAGGATAACAAATTTACTAAGATGAACATTACTTTCTATTAAACTAGTCAATCATCCTAATAATTAAAAAATAAATATCTAAAATGGACTAATAACATCTTTTCTTTTAATTGAATATGTGCTGCTATATATAATAAAACCAAAAGGTCTTAACAGATGCGACATCCTAAACCTACTAGTGAACTTCAAATAAAGACGACAAGTTTAACTCGCAGACATCCACGTGAATGTCGCATAATATAGTTCAGAACACTACACACTGCGAGTTAAACTATATTATGCGACATCCACGTGAACTAATGACCTTTTTCATGTTTCACAAAGCTAAACTAATCAACAACTTCTCCAACAATTTTTTTTATCAAACTACACGAGGATCCAAACAATTTCAATAAAACATATAGCATCTAATTGAAAACAACAACAATGACAAACAACCACAAATTTCCATGTAGCATAAGATTTCAAAAATGCGCCACAAGTAGTAACTTTAGAAACCAATATGCAACACTAGTTGTAGTAGAAAATAACAATTAAAACAACATTTGAAACACCACAAAAAGGAAACTACAATCAAATGCTTTATCAATTCTCATTCACAATTTCGTTTCTTTCTCGTCTAATCTTTTTAGTGTCACATTATACTTAAAAATTGAATACAATAGTTATACAATAAAAAAACCCATTCAAATTCAAAGCACATAAATTGGGAACTGAATTAAAGACACTAATGGTAAAAATATTCTACATATTCATCACCTGATGGAAAATTTTTTGCAATGCCAGCCTTACCAAAATTTCTTGGCAGCCCTAGCAATTATACGACCCTAACAGAGAAAATCTTAAATAAACTCTCAAATATCTCCTCTTTGAACCTCAACCCCAAGCCTTAACTATAAAACTATCATTTTTAGTCCTTACACAATAACAATGAGTATCTATAAGAGCCCAATCACATAAAATTCGACCAGCAGAAAGAAAAATGGCAGATTTACAGAAAAAGAAGAAGGGGGAGATGAATCAGGAGGAATAAACTTACTTTAGATGTAGATACAAGTTGTAGGTGAAACGTTTTTCTTCCAATAATGCCTTCAAGCTTCAAGATTTAGGAGATTTTTCTGCCAATAATGCCTTCAAGATTCAAGAGTAAGGAGACTTCAGAGCTATGCACAGCGATTTTGGCATATTGCTAGAGAGAGAGAAAAATCTAATAGCTTTATCAATGGATTTGGGGGTTTTAGGTTATAACTATAGAGAGAGAAATTTTTTTAGAGCCTTTTAGTTCCCGCTCTTCCTTGTAGTTCCCGCTGAAAATTTCATTTAGGGACAAGTTTATTTGTTATTAGAAAATAATATAGTCAAATAGAGACTAGTAAATAATATCATCCTTATAAGTATATTTTAGGGACCATATTTATAACTTGTCACTATATTTTGGTCTTTAATAAGCCTTTTTGTTGTAGTGCTGCCAACTGCCCAACTTTCAAAGGGCATAACTCACCCATACGAACTCGGTGGCGTTGGAAAGATCATTTACAAGCTTCGCAAAAATAATTGGAACTACTCCTAACTCATCCTGATCTAGGAGTTATGACTGCTCAAAGTTGGCCAAAACTCACTGATTTCCCACACTTAACCAAATTTCCAGATTTTGAATTTTTTTCCAAAAATGACTATTTCCAATTTCAAGCTTTTTCATAGTTATTTTAAATTGCCGGATGTTACAATACATATATGATATATATTAAAAGTTACCAACATGATAAATCCTCCACTACATGAATTCAAATGAAGGAAGTGAAAACATCATTTTGGTAGACTAAATTTTCACTATTATAAAATTTATTGTTTTCTTATATTTCAAACATGTTTTAATTTTGATGATCAGTACAAACACAATATCCAGATGGTAAACAATATGCTTTACATATAGGAGGATATTTGTCTTTACAATCACTATCTTGTTTGCAAGTAGGATTATTCTTTATTCCACGATTACACGTACAAACTCCATTAGTACAATTCAATAAAAATCCAGGGTCACAAGTTGCGGGATCACAATCTTTTGTTGTTTGACACTGTTGTTCTCTTCCCAATACCGTATTTGATGGTGAACCTATGTTATAAGAAATCAAAAGAAATGTTAAGATTAATAATTAATTAATTCATGAACAATACAAAGAAATTAATAATGTAAATTTTTTTATATATGTAACTAATTATTACTATTACTATATTTATCGAATACGTTCAATCAATTATCATGTATATATCTATTGTACACGGAGTTAAGTACAAGCAAATAGTTACAAATACAATTAGGGGTAAAGCTAGAGGGGCTAAAGGGTTCATCTGAATCCTTCGTAAGAAAATCATATTATATAAACATGATTTCATTTTTGCCAAAAAGATAATTTAATAGATGATGAATTCCAAGAGAGAGGGGAGGGGGGAAAGAAACCTAACCTAACAAAACGAACAAGACAATAAGAGAGATCAAAATGGTTGATGTCTTCTCCATTTTCTATGATATATCTCAATGAACAATGATGTTATTTTGTGTACTTGTATGTAAATGTTTTGGGAGATATATATAGTTGGTAGTGCACCCAACAACTTACCTTAGTTCCAAAAGATTTAAGTCAACAAGCTATAATAATTAAGGAATAAATGTAACTAGTCAAAATATATGAAATCACATTTACTTTGACCTCTTTAATTATTATTCATTTCATTCACAATGTTTGTTTGTGTGTAGATATAAACTAAACTAATTAATGTGCCAAAAAATAAATTAAATTGAATAATGTACCCCAATTTTTTTTAATAATAAAAATAAAAATAATATATATATATATACACACACTTCTTTCCTGCTTAATCTTTTTTTTTTTTAAATCTTTTTGCGAAAATTAGCCCGTGAATATGAGAGGGAAGCGCAAAAATATGTATATTTAGCTATTCTTTTATTCATAATTTAGTTTTTTAATCATTTTCCAATTATTTTTTAGTACTATTGATTTTATTATTTTTTATTTAATAATATATCTTAAATAAATAAAGTATTGTGAAAACAAAAAGGTTCAGAGAGAAAGTGACTAATCACGATTACACTTTACAAGTAATCATCGAAAATTTTATCTTATATATAAGATTAAGTCTAAAATGGTTCTTTAATTATATATCCATTGAACTTAGTCCATTAAATATTCAAAATTTTATTAGGTTTGATCACTTCAATTACTGATTTTAGTTTTTTAAGTATTAAAAACTTATTAAATTTGATTTATGTTAATTTTTTATATTATAAGACGAAAAAATTAAAATAAAAGAGAGAAGAGGAGAAAAAAACTAAAAAAAAATCTAACCTAGCAAAATGAGCATACAAATAAAAGTAAATACAATAGCTGATTTCTTCCTCTTCTATACAATTAATTTATATCTCAAATTCAATGATAATCTTTTTATTCTGTATATGGATTCAGAATAAATATTCATATACAAAATAAAAAGATTATCATTGACATTTAAGATACAACATAATTGCATAAAAGATGAGATATAATGTAGTTATATAGATGGTATAACAATTTACCAGTTAAATGTACTCAATACATTTTTAAATTTAGAAAAAACGATTAAGCACAAATTAAATTCAATTAGTCAACTTATTTGGAAATTGGAAAAGATAATTAACTAATATTTGCACTTATTATTTACTCTTTTGTCCAATAATATTTGTCCACTGTTGACTTTGCACGCTTCTTAAGAAACTATAAATAGAAGACTAATTTTAATATATCACCCTTTGAATATTACTCCCTCCATTTCATATTAATTGAATTGTTGAGACATTTTTCATTTTTCAAATTAACTTAATTGTTCAATTTTCAAGACTACTTTTAGAATGTTTTTCCAATTTTACCCTTCATTAGTTAGTATTGGAATTAATTATTAATTAATGTTTAGTTATTTTAATCATAATTTTGATAATAATTAATAAGGATAAAAATGGAAAGTTAAGCCTAATTTATGTCTTAATCTTCTTTTCTTAAAGGGTGTGAAACACCTCAACAATTCAATTAATATGAAATGGAGGGAGTAATAAATATAATGTCTTGAAAAATGTAATAGAGAAATAATTATAATTAATGATAAGGGTAAATTAGGAACTAAGTGTATAATTATCCATTAATTTCATAAAGTGGCAAATATTGCTGGACATTCCAAAATAGTATAATGGACAACTATTATTGGACGGAGTAGTAGTTCTTAAGAATTACGTCCATCAATCCACTTTATACTAGTGAATATGTCCGCGTTTTGTGCTATTATTAAAAAGAAAAAGAATTAACTAATTGTTTTTATATATTTTATATTAAAAATATCTATCTGTACTTTTGATCAATTTTATCTCTTTACATACGTATCGACTGTTCTCTGATATAAATGTATTCTTAAGTTTGGTTGCTCTTTTTTTTTATATTCTTCAGCCTCATTTAAATACATTTATCTATAAGAAAAATATAATTTATAATACTTTCATAAATGTTATTTCAAGAAATTGATAATTATATTCATATTAAATCATATACTCTGAACCCTAGTTATATATATTTTGGGTTGGAGACGGTACTCAATTGTTTTTTTTTATTTAATAAATTAGACAAGATTTTTTTTTTTTTTGGAACCCATATTAACTCGCAGCTGTTATAACCTCTGTCAAAGATTCTACCCTTCAGTTGAGTACTTTGCGCACTGGGTAAACCCCCAACTGTGTAATAGCCTTACAAGGGATGTAAATCCAGGCACGACTCAGAAGGCATTGAGGGAGGATCGATCCCGGGTCATCC